GTGTGTGTGTGTGTGTGTGTGTGTGTGTGTGTGTGTGTGTGTGTGTGAAAGTCTCTGAACTCAGTGGGTTGAAGCAGCTGTTATTCTTCCTGAAGTCCCATTGAACACCTGGGGGCGCTCAAATCTCTGTTTCTCTCATTTGCCGTGGATTCACTGGAGCATGTTCCTCCTAGAGGACAATGAACAAAGGCAGAGTCTCTTAATGCCTCAGCTGGCAGCTATCCTAGGGCATGGCAAAAGCAAGTTGTATGAGCAAGACCAAAGTCAAGAGCTGAGAAAGTACCTTCCACTTATGATAGGGGCATTCAAGGGTGCAATTGAGGTTGAAAGCAAAATATCAGCACTGGTCATTTTGTCAGCCATAGGAATCATCAAAGTGAAAGAAAACACTGATCGATCTAAGTGCTGAGTGGGACTTCTATCCTAGGTGGAATTGGCTGTGCCTGTTGCCTGCTCTGGTTTCCTCTCGTATATGATGACCCACAGAACCACCCCTTTATCAGTGCTGGTGAGAAGAGATACATCATGTGTTCGTTGGCTCAAGAGGTACACTGAGGAATTTCTGTGTTGATTCCCTATCCCTGGGCATCTCCGGGACAGAGAGTAGCAGGGGAGATCCTATCTTGTGATGGAGGGGATAATCACATGTTTTTTCCTTTAGGATTGCTCTCTGGGCTGGTCTCTTCCCATTAAAGCCATGGTGAAATCTCTCCCACTTTGGGCCATTGTAGTTTCTTATTTCTGTGAATACTGGCTGTTATCCACAATAATGGCATATACACCCACATATATCAGCTCTGTACTTCAAGCAAACCTCCGAGATGTGAGTACAAAGAAAGTTGATCTAGCTATTGCATTTCTCTGTCTGATCTCACTCATGGCCACAGGGTGGGGGAATAGTCCAGGACCCCTCATAAGAAATGGCGATAGCTTAGATTCACATTGACCTCAGTGTGGTCCACTTGGCACTTGGGCAGAGACATGGTTCCAAATCAGGAATCATGGTGTCATGCTTTTTAAAAGTCTTATGAGAAAGTTTATACTTAATGAATTCAATATTGATAACAAGATGCTCTAATGGCAGCATAAAAATTTTAAAAAGATTAATAAATTCTGTTACAAAGAAGATATTATTAGATTTCTCTTTTCTTGATTTTTTTTTCTGAGATAGGGTTTTACTAAGTAGTCTAGGCTTGCCTGGATTCACTATGTAGCTGAGGCTAGCCTCAAAATACAGGTCTTCTTACCTCCACCTCCCCTACTGTGAGGATTACAGGTATGTACCACCAAGTATAGCTCATAAAATTTAAAAGAGCTGTTTCTAAGTGATCTTTATATATAGGAAGAGAGCATTTGTCATATTCTTTTATTAAAAATTAATGAAGCCAGGTGTGGTGATATGTGCCTTTAATCCTAGCACTAGGGAGCTAGAGGCTGTAGGATATGATGTGTGGGTTTTAGCCAACCTCCTCTATATGGTGAATTCTGGGTCAACTAGGGTTACAAAGTGGGAGCTTCTGTCAAAAAAAAAAATTAAGGCCATGATTGAGTTATGTGCATATTTTCTGTCAAGAATTAAATTCAAATTAAAATTGTAGTAACAAAGATTTAATTTACATTGAAAGTGATATGAATATAATGCAAAACCATAGACATGGACCATCCATCCAGGATCAGTCAGGTCCAAGATGGGGAAGTGCTGAGGACACTTGTATTTACCTGTCTCCAATCTCCAGAGTGGAATCCTGTCAGCCCTGCCATTCGTGTTTGGCTGTGTCTTCATTATCCTCGGGGGTCTACTGGCAGATTTTCTACTCTCCCGGAAAATCCTCCGACTTGTAACTATCAGGAAGCTCTTCACTGCCCTAGGTAAGGGCCCGACTCGCTACCATGGTTGTGGGAGCTTGGGAGCCGCTTCTTTATGCCTTTTGTTCTGGTGCAGGGGTCCTTGTCTCATCTGGGATCCTCGTGCCCTTGCCTTGGGTCAGATCCAGCCGCAGCACCACAATGGCCTTCTTGGTACTATCTTCTGTCTTTGCCAGCCTGTGTGATTCAGGAGCCCTCATTAACTTTTTGGATATAGCTCCACGGTAAGGACCCTTTCGTCTCAACATAAAAGCTCAGTTCAGGTCCAGGAACCTTACCTACCCTTGCTCTGATGCAAAGGTAAAGGGTAGTGAATCCATTAGGTCATGAGATAGTAACATCAGGGCTACATCTCCATAAATCCTGGAAGGGACCCTGGGCTAGTCGGCCATTGTGAATGGAGCTGACCCTAGCTGAAACAAGAGCAGTCTGTGGCCATGAAAACACTTCACATGTCACATGTCAATCTCTGCCAAGGAATATAGCAGGTTCATTGGATTGGCCACTGAAAGGTCTCAAGAGATCCCATCATGGAGGCCTGTGTGAGGCTTTAATAAAGGGAAAACAGGGTTGGGAGTGATGTCTCAGTCAGTAAATGCTTGCCAGGCAAGCATGTGCAGTTGAGCTGCACCCCTAGAACTCACATTACAAGATAGGAAGAGAACATAAAATAAGATAAGTCAGGTGTAGTGGCATGTGCTTGTAATATCAGTGCTGCCAAGGGGGCAATAGGCAGAGAGCCCTGTGGTTTGCTTGCAGCCTGTCTAGCCTACTGGGCAATTTCCAGGCTAGTGAAAGATACTAATTCTAAAATAAATAAATAAATAAATAAATAAAAATGTGGATGACACTGGAAGAATGACACCCAAAGTTGTCTTCTGGATTCCATGTGTAGTAGACATATATTCATGCATACTGGCACAATATGTGAACACACATATATCAAAAAAGAAAAAAGAAAAGAAAAAGAAACACTACTGGAGAAAAAAATCATTATGTCTGGTGCCAGTCACGCCAGAAAGGACTGAGACCAGACATAAACCTCCCAGAGTCTAACTCAGGCAACAGGACATACTTCATTTTCTCATGATGGGCCACTGAGACATGTGGGAAATAGGCTGCTCTCAGAGGATAAGCATCTTGTCACATGAAGGTCTTCAATGAATAAAGAGGAGACTTTTGCATCCCTAAACAGAGCTACAAGATTGGGCTCAATAGTAAGAACCAAGAAATTAACATATTAGCATAGGCTAGCCCCTAAAAGGCTGAGCCTGTAGCACAGTATTATAAGGATCTAATGTTAGCACATTTTGTTCAGGTTTAATGTACGCCACCCTAATGATCCCAAGAGACAAGCATAGAGATAGGACAGGGCAACTAAGATGAACCCTTTGCTCACATATAGCTACTCCCTTCCCAGGTATGCTGGCTTTCTGAAAGGACTATTGCAAGTCTTTTCTTACCTAGCTGGAGGCATAGCTCCCACTGTTGCTGGATTTTTCATCAGTCAGGTAAGGCCAAACGTTGTAAGGAATATTAATAAAAGAAATTGATGGTGGTGGTTAGTAGAGAAGAGAAGAGAGTAGGAAACATGGCTGAGTTTTTTAGTGTGTGGTCAAAGAGGAATCTTTGAAAAGGTGACAGTAAGCAAGCTGTAGGAAAAAAGTGAGGAGTGACCCAAATGATGGGAAGTGCCTTCTAAGCAGAGGGAAGAGTGGGTATGCAGGGCTGGTGTGGGACATGCAGCAATCTGTTCCAAGAGTGAGATGGGAGCCATGTAAGTTGAGCTGAGTTAGAAGAAGGAGCATCAAGGCATAAAGCCACAACTGTTCTGAACCAGGGGACAAGAAGTAGGCCACCATTGCTAACAGGTAGCTTCCTGCCTCCAGGATTCAGAGTTTGGCTGGAGAAACGTCTTCATACTTGCAGCTGCTATTGATGTAGTCGGCCTGCTCTTCTACCTCATCTTCAGCCGTGCAGAGGTACAGGACTGGGCTAAAGAACCGACATTAACCTATCTCTGAGCAAAGTTTGTGATGCGTAAACCGGCCTGTTTTTGTGCCCACTGGACACCTAAAGCCGTCCAACTGGAAGAAGCTTCATTTCCAGGGTCATTTAAGAGACTCTAGCTATGTGATACTAAAGGTATTTTTTTCTATGCCTGGAAATTTCATAAAGGAAAGAAAAGACTGGTTATTTATAACTGTATGCTTCTGAAATCACAGGTGTGTCTAAGGTTCTACAAATCTTCTATACTTTCCCCTGTTGCCATGGTAAAAGCATCGGGGACCGGAGGACAATTTTCCACTAAAGCCAGAAATTCAGGAGTGATGAGTTGGAACCAAGGAGAATGGTACCATGAACTCTGTAAGCTGTCAGCAAAGAGACTGGACAGCCTGGAAAACAGGATGTTTGTGAGCCAAAGCTCTGCGGCAGGAGGCCACTCATGCCAAGTGAGGGGGTTAAAGAGTCACTGTGGCTCTTGGTGTGTGTAGGATGTCTTATTGAAAACAGCCAGGATAAAGAGCAACAAAGAATTAATCCATCATGAAAAAAGGAATGAATTTTCTCCAACTAATACAAACAGGGCTGTAGAATCCAACCATTACAGACAGATTTCTGCATGTGGAGCTTGGCTTTCGATCAAAACCACTTCCGCAATATGGACACCACTCAGGCACTCTCTGGAGTCCACTGTTCATCCACAGCGTCCTTCTTTCTGACCACTTTAACCTGGGTCCCTCATCTGTATGTAGATCTGCTTCACAGCATCAGTCTCATCGTGGATGCCCTTTGTCTGCTTCTCTGACTCTTATGATCTCAGCCATTCTTCAGTGGGCCTCATTTGTTATAAAATGTCTCCTAAAAATGTTTGTGAGACGCATACTTGCTTCACTTCATTTCAAATGTCTCTTTCCATTAAGAATCCACATGGGTGACACAGGAACAACAGAAGAGAACAGAAGTGCTCACACACTAAATGAATATTAATGAATACATTAGTGTGTATGGAGACATGGCAGACATCACAGTCATGGGCAGCTTGTAGTAGTAGTTCACTGTCACAGGAAGATATGTGACTTTAATAAAAGTACCACAAGGGAGTGCAGAATGATAGCTGTGGAATATGGAATAAGCAGGGGTATTCCTGCTAAAATAAGGAAGTATGGAGCTCTAATTTAAGGGCGGCCACCATTACACAGCATCAATTGAGCTGGTGTATCTGAAGGTCACTTCATGTAGGAGACTGATGCTAGGAATGCCCTAGGAAGACACTCTGAGAAGATCTGCAGCATATGAAAAGGTTTGATGGCAGGAGAGAAAAGTCAGAGGTGGATACAACAGAGTGGTCTAAGAGAGGTTATGGAAGTATCGAGGTCAAGAATGCACAGGGCATTGGGGACCCAGTGAAGAAAGAGTGTTGGTCTTTACACTGAAATCAGTGGAGGTATTTTAACGGAAAGGGACACAATCAGGTTCTGATTTTCAGTGGTCACACTGCATAAGAAAGTTGGTTAGGGCGCAAGCCTTTAATCCCAGCATTTGGGAGGGAAAGGAAGGCGGATTTCTGAGTTCGAGGCCAGCCTGGTCTACAAAGTGAGTTCCAGGATAGCCAGGGCTACACAGAAAAACCCTGTCTCGAAAAACCAAAGAAAAAAAAAAAAGTTGGTTAGGGGGTTCCAGTGCAATCCAGGGAGAGCTGGTTCCTTGCATGAGGTTGGGAGAGGTGGTAAGAGATAAGCAAGGGCAAGGCAATAACCTGGCTATATTAATACTCTACGAGAGCATGGGTGATGTCCATAGCATCAGTTGTATTTTGGTTTGGGTTGGTGTTAGAACGATTGGGATGCTTGTCACAATGATAGTAATATACTCAATGAAGACCACAAATAGGAACATGGACACAAGGTTTGGATGGCACTTGTCATCTGAGGTTCAGTTATGAATTAGGGAATAATTTAAATATAGGTCATAATTGAAATTTTCAATATGAATGAGAGTGCCTGGGTAGACAGTATGACATAACAAGAGAAAGTCTATGACTACTCCTTCAGGATTTCCAGTGTTTAATGGTCATCTAGATGGTGATTAGAGAAAGAGAGGGAGGTAGGTGTGGGAAAGGATAGAGGGAAAAAGGAGGAAGGAAGCAAAGTATAGAAGTAAAACCAAGAGATTAGCACTAAGATAGAGACCTAGAAAGAACAAATTACAAAAACGAGTGAACAGTCAATATGGCACCAATCTGCAGAGGCTAGGCTGATGGGAAGAAAGCAGAGTGAGAAAGGAGTCCACTCCTGAGTCTTTGGAGGCAAACGAGTGGGAGGAAAAGATGAGAGGATACCAGATTGGACACAGTGTGGAACAAGTTTGTTGAAGACCCCGAGAAAGAGCTAGCTGAGAAATGACAGTGGCATAAACAGAAGCATCAAGCATGAATGCAAAGTTCCTGGGAAACCCTGAGGAAGGAATGGTGTGACCCAAAATCTAGCTAGGAAGATAAGGAAGATGGAATGAAGTAGGCCTTGCCTTTTCACTGACAGTCCAAGGTCACATTCATATTCACTAGTGAGAAATCCAAGCTGGTTTTCATTCTTAGTATCTTTTTTTTTCTACTTGAAAGTACAGAGGGTGCATAAGTGGTTTGTGGGTAAGACAAAAGCTACACTGTTGTTATTAGACAGGCAAAGAGGGACATGGAAGAGATGCCCTGCACGTAGCCAGCCAAGGTCTTTGTGTCCCATATAACCCCTGGGATACCACGTTGTTCCTCTTCTTGTCCATGATGGCAGTTCCCACTACTCAGCCTGAATGTAAACCCAGGAATTTCAGAAGCCAGGGCATGCATTATTTGAGACATCTTTAGCAAAGTGTGAGATTCTGTTTACAGTAAATGCCAATAAATGCTTGATAAGTCTCTTATTGGAAAAGTTCTGAGGTGGTTATAGAAGACCAGTTAGGGTTTCAAAGGGAATGGGAAAGAGTCCTAGTTTCTTTGCTGTTCCTGTGACAAATACCATGACCAAAGCAAGTTTTGGGAAGAAAGTATTTATTTGATTTACACTTCTAGGTAATAACCCATCATTGAGGGGAGTCAGGGCAGGAACTCAAGCAGGAACATGAAGCAGAATCCATAGAGAAATGCCCTGCAGTTCAGTTGATGGCTCCGACTTGTTGGCTAGTTTACAAGTTCATATTTTGCTAGTTTTCCTATACAGCCCAGGACCATCTGCTCCTGGGTGGTGCTAACCACAATGGGTTGGACTCTCTTACACCAGTTAAAAATCAACCAATTCCCCCATAGACACATCATAGGCCAATCTAATTTATCAATACTTTGAGATTCCTTTCACAGATGGCTCTAGGCTATGTCAAGTTGACAGTTAAAGCTAAATAAGGACAAAAGAAAAAGAAACCAGCTTTGTGGAAACCCTGGTAATTAAGGTTGCAGTCTACCATGTCCGGATAGCTCCTCTGAGCTTGGAGCAAAAGAGAGGACTCTTTATCAGCATGGCTTCCTCTTCTCTGACCCTGTCTGGGGAGCCAAGTCCTCCATACCCTCTCCATGGGAATGGTCGAGTAAGTCTTGGCAGACCTACAAGTTCAACTTCTCTTTCCCAGATAAGAATTTACCTATCAAGTACCTGGGATTTCTGGAATATTTCTCCATGCAAATGAAGCATTCCGAGTCTTCAAACTCTAACCAATGATGATTTTGCAACCATTCTGAAAACTCCTTTCCACTTTCTAAGTTTTATATCTAGCTGTTGCTATCCTGAATAAAGTATATGCATATAAGTCCAACCTGAATAAAGGTATGTGTACAAGCTAAGATAGTTTAAGAGAGCTGTTTCCTTAAAATCTTTAGAGAAGGCCTTTTCCTCACCAGTACTCTCTCCCAGAGGGACCAGGATCCTACAGACCCCACCCATTCCAGACTCCACTTCATCCCTCCAGCCTGGGGTGTAGGGGCACCAGGACACCATAAGGGAGAAAGCAGCACATCAGAACCACAGCTGGTTCCCAACACGCATACCACAAATTTTGGCCTAAATTTACATGCATGATGCATGATTTCAGAGCCCACAGGCTCTTATAGTATCAGGAACTTAGGGGTGACATCATCACTCTTTTTGGCAATCCTGGAATTGACCCAAGTCTCATTAAGGTACAGAGTTAACTATCAATGGTCTTTATTATTCTATCTTTTTCTCTCCCATGACTCTTGCATTTCTTTTTGTTGTTGTTGTTTCATTTTTCTTTTTTGAAATGTGCTTATTTTTATTTTATGCATACACGGGTTTTGCCTGCATGCATATCTAGGCACCATGTGTTTGTAGTGCCCATAAGGGCCAGTAGATGGATGATGGTTGTTAGTTGCCATGTTCGTGCTGGGAATCAAACTTAGGTTCTCTGGAAGAACAGCCAGTCTTCTTAACTTTGCCAATCCCTCCCTATTTTTTATTTGTTAATCAATCATCTTTAGGGCCTGCATATAACAAGCTTGATTTCTCCCTGAGCCTATCAAAGAAGAAACTGATTTTTAAAAAATATTTTCTTTCCAACTGGGCCATTCTGAAAGAATTCAAATAATTTGAGATTCTTCAAATGGTTCTCATATTTACAACAAAGAAGAGTACATGTTGAAAATTATTTTTAAAAAAATGGGAAAAAGTAACCAAACAAACCACAAACTAAAATGCTTTTTCATGAAGTTGTAGAGTAAAATTTTGTCTTATGTTTATTGGATCATAGAGGAAGACAGATAAATAAATTCCTTTTCAAAGTCAGAAGTATAACTTGTTTCATACAATACACAGTGCAAGAGAATCACTCAGATGAAAGTGGGTGAGACTGAGCGCTCAGGAGCCTCATGCTGCCCGTCTCGAGGTGTTCGTGACTCTCCCAGGACCTTCAGTCCCATGCAGGTTCCTCTTCCTTTCCATAAGGATGCTGACCTCATGCTTCTCAGGTGCTCATTTTTCTACTAACTTTTGTAGAAAAAGGAAACAAAACACATAGAGATGTCACTTGAGAGTCCTTGACCCCAGAGAGTGCTCTAACACTTCAAAGGCATTAGTGTAGGCTAGAAGATTTTTCTCAAGTTGTCTTTCTTGTCCAGTGAGAGGTTATCAATATCATTTTCATATGTCTTCCCTACAGACATAAAAATAAATATGTCTGCCAGGTATTCACTTACCACCTTCTTCTGCCCTGCCCTGCCATGTCCTGCCATGTCCTGCCATGCCCTGCCATGCCCTGCCATGCTCTGCCCTGCCCTGCCCTGCCCTGCCCTGCCCTGCCCTGCCCTGCCCTGGGAAATGTATATGAAAATATCTGAGCTACTGCAGCATTTTGTAGGTTCACTCTTGGGGCACGAGGATACTCAGTACTATGTGTTGAGGCTGCATCCCGAAAACAAACCACACAAATTAAAAACCCACTGTGGCCTTCAGAGTTGGCATTCCTGTAATTTGATATTGCTGCTCTCAAAAACAGCACATTGCATTCATAGTAATAATAGGTACATTCTCTCCATTCCCAGATTCCAGCTCCTAATAAACTAATTTGTTATTAAGAAAATGAAAATAAAACTTTTCTTGGTGATTCTCACTGAAGCACCATCTGCCCTTTCTGAGAACCATCACTGCCACCTATAGGGGTGGAGGGGTTGCTATCTGACAGTCTAGGATGAGTCTGGCCTTTGCTTGTTAGTAGGCATCCATATCAGCAACTCTGTATTCAAGCATCTTCTCCAGAACCTGGAAAGAGGTTGCAGGCAAGATGTAGAGCCAGCATCTACATGTGTACACAGGGCACTAACTGGAGCAAGAGTGAAGAAAGCATACATCATTCTGTTCTGTTTTGTTTTTGTGGTTGGGTTTTTCTGTTTGGTTGACTTGTTTTTGTTATTTGGAGACAGGGTTTTACTGTGTAACCCTAGCTGGCTTAGAACTCACTATAGAGACAGTCTGAGCTCAAACAAACAGAGATATGCTGGCCTTTGCCTCCTGAGTGTTAGGATTAAAGGTGTATGTCACCGTGTCCAGCCCTGCTATAGTCTTCTTCAAGTTAATTTTATTTATTTTTAACTTAAAAATTTCATTGTACGTATTCAATGTATACATCACTATGCTACATAAGAACGGCTGCCCGTAAGCAGGTAACAAGCATTGTGTGCATCCCTCCTATGCCTGCGTCTCCTTTACTTTGTCCTCCTCGCCCCCAGTTTCTCCTCATTGTTTCCCTATATAGACTGCTCTGCTATGTTTTTCATGGCCTCTGTACAGACATGATTTTATATATCTGTATGCCTTTCTTTTCCATTTAGACATTTTTAGTCTTGTGTGCATGTGTATTTAAGTTTTACATGTCAATTATACATTGCCTAATGCCTGTCCAACAGCACCTTGTAGGCAGGACAGAGCATTCATTTGCTGTGGATGATTGCCATGCATTGTATCTAGGGAGGGGAAATGCTGTAGGTATGTGAACATCTCTCAACAACATTGTTACTGCCTTGACCATGGATTTTGTCTAAGAAGTGCACTTCTGTTCTCCTACTGTGAAGTGGCCTCTCCGTGACAACACAGAGAGTCCTTGCATAGTAGGCTGAACTGACATTGTAATGGTGCCTTGGGTGTACTGGGGGAACACATAGCAGACATATAACCCCAAAGTGAAGCTCTGAGAGAGTTGAGATACAGAAAGGCTTTGTAACAACTTGAAAATGTCTGGATTTGCCTGAAGGTCTGAACGATATAATTGTGCCCATCCTTAAATCTGGTTATAGAGGCACATTCACAAAACCCAAGTACTCAGAAATGGAGGTGGAAAACTCAGGAGCTTCAGACTAGCATGGGCTACATAGAAAGTTCAAGGGTAGTCTAAATTACACTTAATTTATATATTAAGTATATTTTAAAAAAAGAAAATGTGGGTATGAGTGTGTGCATGTGTGTGTGTGTGGAGACACACACACACACACACACACACACACACACATAGAGAATAACTTCCATGAAACTCAAAAATATACCCCTCAATCCAAGCCCAACCAACAAAGAAAAGCACCAAATCAGAGATCTTTTCTCTTGTCTCTTGCATTCAGTTTTGTACTAAAGGTTCTAAGTAGAAGAATTAGAAAAGAAGAAGGGGAAAAAAAGGTTATCTAGATTAGAAACTGAAGAAATTTTTTAATATTCATAGAGAGCAAAATTATTTAACTAGAAGTATGACAATATCCACCACAAACTAGTAGAATAAGCTTAATGAAACTGTAGGGCAGAAAATGTACAAATGTTAATTGTACTCCTATTGCCTTTAATACAAACATTAAACTGAGAAAACAATTCCATTTAAAATGGCATTTAAAAATCAGGCACAGTGATGTACATTTGTAATGTCAGTGTCAAAGAGGCTGAGGCACAAGAGTCTCATGTTCCAGGCTAGTCTGCCTGGACTCCATAGTGAGCTTGAGGCCCTCCCACCACCACACACTGGATCTAATTCCTAAGTTCTTACACAGGAATTCTTGGGTAACACACTCAGACCAAAGTAGATATAAAAGTACATTAACATCAACTGCAGAAAAGACAGATGAGCAGCGGCTTGTACATATCATTGGCTTATCAGCAATTTCATCTCCCCTCCAAGCAAGCAGCCAAGAGCAGCAACAGAACCTCTTTGATTCCATATTTCTTTCCAAGAGTAATTGTCTATTCTGACTGTTACATTTCCTTATATCATACTCTCTCCTTCCTTCCTTCCTTCCTTCCTTCCTTCCTTCCTTCCTTCCTTCCTTCCTTCCTTCCTT